GATAAGATATAAGTATATAAATATATTTGTGCAGACATAATTGTGTTTAATTTGTCCTATTATTTATCCTTATGAACCAATTCTGTCATCCTTACGTAAAATGTCCTGTCTTGCAGTTTTTTTTAGATACATTACAGTATTGTAAGTTCTATATAGTCCAACTTTTGAAATAAAGCCAGAAAGTCCTAAAGGCTTTGTAAATTTCTAGAAAGTTTTTAACTTTGTCTAATTGATGACACGAATAAATATGCAATTATATTTAAAAAGTAATTATACTCGGTGAATAATTTAATACACCGAACGCGTCAACGTGGTACGCGCGACAAGACACAACACAAAAGCCAATCAGCAGATTGGTCTAATGGAAAAAGAGCGTTGTCATTGGATATCGCTTCACGTCTGTTTGTCATACTTTGATACAGCACTCTATCGGAATTTTTGTGAACTACATACTGCTGTTCTTTTCAAACACAGTGATAGTATATGATATCAGATATACGTCATGACGCTAAGTCGTTGTCCTCATTAATTAGATAGGCAAACTATAATCTGAACGTCTCATTAGATTCGTTTTTGTCGTATCTGTGGCGCTTGTTNATTGTAAATATGTACATAAGCTTAAAAATACATCTACATACATAAATATATAGTGAGGTTCTAGAAGGAAACTGTATAAGGAAAACTTTATGCTGAATTTTGATAATCCAAGAAACAAGCGCCAATCCTTAGTACTATTTACTTATTTCTGTAGAAGCATTTTAGATTTCATGCAGTAAATACAACTCCAAACGACTTAGGAGAAATGTCGGCTTACAGGTGTCTATAGTCGGTATCCAGTACCCTCTTAGAGGGGAAAACGCCAGCCGAGAAAACGAGCATGAAACTGACAGGCCTTACACGGCATCAAGCATGCGTCATAGGAAAAATCACAGCAACCATACAGCTAAAAGACAAAAGTATTAAGCATCCAATTTACGTTGTGAAAAACGATTGTTACGTCCTGGACTTCACGTCCCCTTTTTTTTTGCAACGTGAGAACGATCTTTTCGTTCTGAGAATCATAATAATTGTAGCTTTAAGAATCCGAGATGCTAAGACTTCCCGGATGGAGGACAGGAGTCGGCCTGTGGCGATAAGAATTGTAATC